GGCCTTCCTGTTCGTGGACACCGCCACGAAACCCCACCCCCGGCGCCATCCCTCCCAGCAGGCCGCGAACTCTTAATCCAGAGGCACAGGAAGGCGCGGCCAAAGGGCGATGGCGGCGCCGCAGGGATAACGGCTTCCGTGCACTGCCGCGCCTCCTGGAGCTCAGGACCGCGGGGTGGCCGGTCGTCCAGCGCTCCGGCTCCATCGCCGCCCCTCTGTCGCCCTCGTGCTCCCCCCACCCCCGCAAGGTCCCCACCCTGCGCTGGGTTCCCTCTGGCCAGGCCTCTTTCCACCCACACCCACCGAACGAGGAGGCACGTCCCAGCAGACCCGGGGCGGAGGTGGGAGAGACCCCGCCTCCCAGAGGCCACGCCCCTTCGGACAGAGCGTCGCCCTCTCAGGGTGACGTCAGAGTTGGGCAGGTGTCCACGTAGGGCACGACCTTCCCTTATTGGACACTCCTCCTCCCCATTCCACAATGACTTCAGGGTAAAGTCCAGATTCCTCCCTTCTCCAGCTAGAAATCCCCCTTCTCCACCCGTGGGGAGCCCTCAGCTCCGCAGGCTGGAGCCAGCTATGACCCGAAACGCTTTCCGAAATCCCCCCAGGGCAGCCTCTGGTGCCAGGTCCCCCATCAAACTCATCTCAGGTTAAAACATACATTCCCAGGTCCCACCTTAACCCTTGGCTTTGAGGCCAGGAATATGAACTTTTAACAAGCTTCCAGGTGGTTCTGATGTCTTCTAGGCTTCAGAGTCTGATTGTTGACATTCCCATTCAAATGGCAGGAGTTCTCAAACTTCAGCAGGCTAGTTAAAACAGGTTGCTGGGCCCCACCCTCAGGGTTTCTGATTTCCAGAGGTCTGGAGTGTGGGGTCTGAGAGTTTGCATTTCTATCTTTCCCTGGGGATGCTGAGGTTGCTGGTCTAGGACCACACTCGGAGTACCACTTCTTTAATAATACACACTGGAGAAGAGTTTCCACCTGTTGTTGATTCACGGGGTACCAAGCCCTTGTGCAAGGCACTTCACATTCATGCCACTGTGTGAAATAAACATTTACCATATTCTCAGGATAAGGAAAGTGAGAATCAGACAAGTTAACTCACTTGCTCAAGGTCACATAGACAGGAAGGGCAGGTCTTTCTGAATCCAAAGGCTCGACTAGCCCGGCACCCTGTGCACTGCTAGTTATCCTTCCCAGGGGCTTGTTCTGTCTCTAGACGTCAACCAGGCACTCTCTGAAGCCTGAGAGGTGCAGGATGGGGCTTTGTAGCCTCCTCTCCCACACTGGCTTGAGTTCAGGGGACTGGCTTTTCTGGGAACCAGTACTCTGCTGGGTACCAGCTTTTCTGCCCAGAGTTGATAAAGAGAGGCTAAAGAAGCCCATTCCTCATGTGGTCCTGCCTTCAGACGGTAAAGAATCCGCCTGCAATGCGGGAGACATGGGTTTGATCCCTCGGTTGGGAAGACCCCCTGGAGAAGGGAATGGCAACCCACTCCAGTATTCTTGCCTGAGAAATTCATGGACAGAGGAGCCTGGCAGGCTACAGTCCACGGGGTCGAAAAGAGTTAGACATGACTGAGCGACTTTCACTTTCACCTGACCCCTCCTTTCTTCACTGTCCCTCACGTTGGAGTGGAAGTTCCCCTGACTCTGATTGGCTCCAGGGTCTCCTGGATGACCCCCGGGGACTAGGAGAAGGAAGGGCATTTGGGTGCTGCAGGAAGAGCAGGAGGGAGGCAGGACCACTGGGTCTGCAGAGGAGAGAGGACAGGTGGTACCACACAGGTGCCCGGGCCCCTGGTCAGTGCTGCCTGAAGATTCTGCCCAGGCAGGCCCCTGAGGAAGCCTGTCCTTGGGGGCAAGGACACACAGGTCAAGGCACAGCTGCTGACGGGGTAGAGAGGTGAGCAGCACATCTCCGTGGGGGCCTCAGGTGAAGGGCCGTGTGGTGAGGAAAAGAACGAATCTAGGTGCGCTGTTAGGGATGAGGAGTCCCTTCCCAACTTCTCCCGTCTACATCGGACCTGGGTTTCTCCCTTGTCACTCCCTAACCCCCACTTCTGTGGAGTGGGCCAGAGATCGGGGGTCAGCAGCTCCCTCAGGACACTGCTCATTCTCCTCTGTCTCTTCCTCGCAGTCCCCAGCTTTCTGCTTCTCCTCACTGGCTCCTGGGTCTTAACCGTTCCCTTGGGGAGGGGAGCACAGCCTGGAAAGGGGGTATAGTTGGGGAGCCAGAGACAGGACCTGGGAGGGAGGGAGTCTGAACTCTGGGTGGGCAGGCTAGGACGCAGTGGGGATGTCCTTCCCGCCTGAGTCTTCCTTCCCTACCCGAGACACTACTGCCCAGCGCATCAGGTGAGCCCTGGGACATGGCCCTGAACAAAGCCCGCGGACGGGGTGCGGCGGGGATTCAGGGAAGGTACCTCTCTCTGAGGTAGACAGTAAATCTGAAGGAGAAATGAGAGCAAGCTAGTGAAGAATGTGGCGGAACCACTTTCAAAGCAGAACAGTCAGCATTTGCAAGAGGAAGTGAACTGAGACTAGCCAAGCACAGCGGAAGTGATCGCAAGAGACACCTGGAGAGTTGAGGCCAGGCAGGAGGGCAGGCGCCTTGACCAGACACTGAAGTTTGGATTTCATCCTAAATGCTACAGGATGCCCTGAGAAGATCTTAAACAGAGAGATGATATGTGCCGAGTTACACTAAAATCTCTATCTAACCCCATAAACTTTAAAAAAATATATCTGCATCGTTAAAAAAGATAAATAACCTCACCCCTATTGGAATGGCTATAATCAAAAAGCAAGAAATAACAAATGTTGGCCATGACATGACAGCTACAGACTGGGAGATTATATTTGCAAATGACATCTCCAACAAAATATTACATATATATATATTACATACAAAGTATTACATATATATATATATTGCAGGAGATGGCATAGATCACAGAGATCATAAAGAAAGCAAGGGAATTCCAGAAAAACATATACTTCTGTTTCGTTGACTGACTACACTAAAACCTTTGACTGTGTGACTCACAACAAACTGAAAAATTCTTAAAGAGATGGGACCCGTAAAAAAGTTCAGCAGATTGCATTAATGTCAGTTTCCTGGTGGTGATATTGTACTATAGTCATGCAAGATGTTACCACTGGTGGGAACTGGATGAAGGGTATACAAGAGTTCCATTATTTTTGATGATTGCATATCAATTCCAATTATTTCAAAATAAAAAGTAAAAATAAAAATGGAGGACTGTGTTAAAATATGTGCAACTCATATCATAAAGGGCTGATGTCCCTCACATATAAAGCATTTCTAGATAAATAATAATAAAACCAAACATATATACAACATATAATATGTAGCAAGTACTGTTCTGTTTTATTTTTGATGCATTAATTCATCAAATTCACACATTAGGGATTTCCCTGGTGGTCCAGTAGCTAAGACTCTGCACTCCCAAGGCAGGGGGCCCCAGGTTTGATTCCTAGTCAGGGTGCTACATCCTGCACTCCACAACTAAGAGTTGGCATGCTGCAACTAAAAAAAAAAAAAAAATCCCAAGCCTATGCTCTGGAGCCTTCGAGCCACAACTAATGAGCCCATGTGCCCTAACTATGACTTTCCTGGTGGCTAAGCAGTAAAGAACCCGCCTGCCCATGCAGAAGACATAAGAGACGCAAATTCAATCCCTGGGTCAGGAAGATCTCCTGGAGAAGGGATTGGCAACCCAGTCCAGTATTCTTGCCTGGAGAATCCCATGGACAGAGGAGTCTGGCAGGTTGCAATCCATAGGGTCAGACACAACTGAACGGGCTTAACGCACACGCATACCCCAACTATTGAAGCCTGCATACCCTAGAGACCCTGCTCTGCAACAAGAAAAGCCCCTGCAATGAGAAGCTGGCCCTCCGCAACTGGAGAGTGCCCCCACTGTACGCAACTAGAGAAAAGTCCCCTCAGCAACAAAGCCCATCACAGCCAAAAATAAACAAATACAGTTATTAAAAAAAATTTTAGACCCAGACCATTACTTATTAAAAAATCCTCAACAAAATATTAGCAAGTCAAACCCAGCAATAAACATAATGCCCCTCAATCGAGTGGGGTTTATTCTGTGAAAGCAAGAGTGGCTCAAAAATCAATTAATGTAATTTGCACACTAAAAGACTGAAGAAAGAAAATCACTTAATGATATAAATAGATGCAGAAAAACCTTGACAAAACATCTACTATGACAAAACATCTACCATGACAAAACTTCCAGCCACCTAGGAGTAAAAATCAACTCCTTCAAGCTGATCAAAGGCATCTGCAAAAAAGCTATAGCTAACATATTTAATGATAAAAAACTGAGCACCTGGCCCCTACGAAAGGAAAGGGCAAGATGTCTGTTCTTACCATCCTGATTCAATGTTATACTGAAAGTCTTAGCATAAAATGGCAAGAAGAGGAAATAAAAGGCATAAAGATCAGAAGAAAACTAAAAGATCCCACATGCTGCAACTAAGACCCAGCACAGCCAAATAAAGAAATAAATATTTTTTAAAATTCTCGTTCTTAAAAAAAAAAATTCTTCCCATATCATCTTAATTTTATAGGTGAGGCAACTAAGGCACAGACAGGTTAAGCAACTTGCCCAAGGTCATAGAGCTAGTAAGTGGTAGAGCCAGGATTCAAAACCCAGCAGTCTGGTTCCAGAATACAAACTCAAACTCTGCAGGTCTCTAGCAAGGATCCACAGCCCAGTGGAAGAATTTTCAGCGTGTGTAAACAGTAAAGGAAAAGCAAAGGGGTCTTCAACTTAAGAGGAGAGAAATCAGAGAAGAGAGGTGCAGGCCTCCCTGCATCCAGGGAACCAACCTTGCCCAGCTGGGACAAGCCCAGCTCAGGCCACACCTCATTACACAAGGCACAGACTCCTCCCTCAACTCAAAAAGACCAAGCCCCGCCTTCTGGAACCTTTCCCTTTACAGCCACCTGCTCCAGGAGGCACTGAGGGAAAGGGAGACGGGCAGAAGGCCAAGCCTGAGCTTTAACGGGGAGATAGACACAGCATCCGAGGTGAGCTGGGAGACAGGTGTGGGGTGGGTGGGCTCGGCTTCGGAAACAAAGAGGATGAAGACAGGAAGGGGAGAGCCCCTCCCTTGGAGATCTTCCCAGCCGCCTACCCAGTCCCCCAGACTGACCCAGTGAGCAGAAAGGCAGCTCCAGGAGGAGTGGACAGCACTGGCAAATTGACTCAGCATGAAGCCATCACCAGAAACACCTGCTCCCAGGCCTGCTGCCCTCCAGGCCCCATGCAGGAGCTCCAGCCCTCTGGGTCCCAGAGGTGACCCCTCCCATCCCCCTCCCTCCTCACGTCCTGGCGGATTAGGGGCATAGTTGGGGGGCCGGGGGGAGGGCAGACCAAGGAAGCTAGCCCCACGACAGTCCTAGAGACTAACATCTCATTTGACAGGTGACTTCTTCCCTTGAATAGAGGGTAGAGAATGCAGGACTAGTGAATCAAAGTCCTGCCACTCATGAGAGGAAAACGAGAACAAGTTAAAATATAACTACAGAGACCCACAGTATGCACGGGCACATGCTCATGTGTGCTTACAGCTGCACACACACCATGTCTGCCCGTCTCAGGCCAAGGCCTTCGTGCCCGTTCCCAGCCCACGGTGTGGCTCAGGCAGGGCTGGCTCTCCTCCCTGCCTTGGGGCTCAAATACACAAATGGATGAGGCTGAAGGGGAGGGAAGGACAGGGGTAGAAAGAAGATCTGAGGTCCAGGGTTGAGGCTCTGTCTCTGGTTTCAAAGGCTTAAACCAAGAATCTTTTACCCAGGTCAACTCTTCCCGTTGAACTTTGAACTGTTAGGAAGCAGAGCTGAGGGAGGTGAAGGCATCACACGTTGCCAACTCTGAAGAGTTTGCAGTGGACAAAGGGAGCACAGGACCTGACTGGACCCCTTGGAAGCTGGCAGGGAGCTGAGCAATCAGTCAGTTCAACCCATCATTTTATTTCAAGAGCCTGAGGCCCACGGAAGTAGAGGGACTCAGTAGAGCCCCATAGCAAAGTGGCAGCAATACTGAGACCAGGACCAAGGTCTCTCTCTTTTTTTCTAAATTAGCTTCTTTGGCTGCACCAGGTCTTACGGCAGGAGCAGAATGGGGCAACAGGGGATGAGATGGTTGGATAGCATCATCAACTCAATGGACCTGAGTTGGAGCAAGCTCTGGGAGATAGTGAAGGACAGGGAAGCCTGGTGTGCTGCAGTCCATGGGGTCCCAAAGAGTCAGACAAGACTGGGCGACAGAACAACAAAGGTCTTAGCTGTGGAAGGCAGATTCTTCATTGGGGCATGCGAGCTCCTAGTTGGGGCATCCAGGATCTAGTTCCCTGACCAGGGATAGAACCAGGCCCCCTGCATTGGGAGTATGGTGTCTTAACTGCTGGACCATCAGGGAGGTCCCAGGACCAAGGTCTCTTGACTCTCGCTCAAGCGCTCTTCACTGCACAGGGCATTCTTTGTCACTTCCAAAAGTGGTGTTCCCTCTACCAGAGAGCAGTGGCTCAGACAGTAGAAGTGTCTGCCTGCAATGCGGGAGACCCGGGTTTGATCCCTGGGTCGGGAAGACTCCCTGGAGAAGGAAAATGGCAACCCACTCCAGTACTCTTGCCTGGAAAATTCCATGGACAGAGGAGCCTTGCAGGCTACAGTCCATGGGGTCGCAAATAGTCTGACACGACTGAGCACCTTCACTTCACTTCACTTTCCTCACTCTAGGTGAAGGTTTACTTGCTGGTTCATCCAGCTCTGTATTAGGCCACGGAAATAGTAATCATAAACTGCAGATCGTAGCCAGTAGCGTCATAATAGCAGGTAACATTTATTAAGCCCTTATGGCGTGCCAGTCATCTCCCTGCCCCTCGTGACAGACCTATGACACCAGCACTACTGCCATGCCCACTTCACAAATGAGGAAACCGAGGCTCAGAGAAGTTAACCAACTTACTCAAGGTTGCAAGTCCAGGAAGTGTTCGAGTAAACCACTTCCCATGCTCTGAACCACTGCAATCCACTGCTGCCACCCTGGTACACTGGTAAAGAAACCAATACGATAATTTCGGATACTGATAAGTACTGTGAAAAAATAAAACATGGTGAGAGCTAGAGGACGACCTTGACAGTGGCTCTCTCCTGATTTCTAAAGAGTCCACGAAGATGTAGCCACATTTGTACCGAGTCCAGAGGTGTAAGGAGCCCACCAGGCCAGGATCAGAGAGAAGGGCATTGTAAACAAAGGGGACAGTTTGGGCTTCTTCCCAAGGGTGATGGGAAGCCATTGGAGAATTTAAGTAGGAGAGTGACATGTTTTGCTGTGTAATGAGTAGATTATAGGGGGATCCCAGGGAAGAAAAGACCCAACATTTTCAGGAAGTCTGAGGATGAAGGGAGGAGGGGAGATGGGGCAGAACTGGGAATAGAGCAGGGGCATCTGGGACCAGCAATCTCCTTTGCTCCCCACACTTCCAGGGCACCCCCTCTCTAATATGATGGGTTGTAGTTCAGTCACTCAGTCGTGACTGACTCTTTGTTACCCCATGGACTGCAGCACGCCAGGCTACCCTGCCCTTCACTGTCTCCTGGAGTTTGCTCAAACTCATGTCCATTGAGTCAATGATACCATTGAATCAATCTCATAGGGCTTTGAAAATAAAGACCCCTGGTCCCCACTGGGGCCATCCATAGCCCTACCACTTCTGCCTCATGGAGTCCAACAGCCTTGGGGAAGGTGAAGTGCCTGGGGTCTGATGGGGACAAGAAGGCAAGGTGTCCAAGGTGGGAATTTTCTTTTTTTGGCCATGTCACACAGCATGCAGGATCTTAGCTCCCCAACCAGGGACTGAACCCACACCCCCTGCAATAGAAGTTTGGAGTCTTAACCAGTGGACCACAAGGAAGTCCCTTTTTCTTCTTTCTTTCTTTTCTTTGACCAAGGTGAGATTTTTGCTCAAGACACTCACCAGGACGTAGATTTCTCCAGGGGTCACACTGCTATCCACTGTTCTCTACCAGGAAAGGGCTGAGTGGGTAAGAATCCCACCCCCCCACCCCCAACACAAATCTCCACCCCAGGAGATCCTGTATGCCTTCCCTCGAGTTGAGGACTTCTTCCTCACATCCCAACATGGGCCTTCTCCACGGTTCTGGACTGGATTACTTGGGGTGGGGAGGAAGGAGGCCGCCTGAGTGCGCTGAGACATTGAGGAAAAGTCAGTTCCATCGACTCTGCCCCTCCATCCCACCCCCTTCTCTCCCACAAGTCTCCTGCCTCCGCTTGGCCAAGCCCAGACAGGACTCCATCGAGTCTGGAGAGGGACAGACGGTGGGAGGTGCCGGCAGCTCCCTTGGCTGCTGGCTGAACTCACCTTCTTCCTTCCCTCCCCTCACATTCTAAAGACAGAACAGGAGCGGCATTCCTTCCCACAGCCGCAAGTCTGTTGGCCTGTAGGTACTTGCAAAGCTATTTACCAGTGATCCTCAGGGGCAGCCGTCCTTCATCCTCCCCTCCTGTCCCTGAAACCTTAGATCCCCAGCAGGAGGAGGAGCTCATCTCTAAGGATTTGGGGGTGGTGGGATACCGGGTGGGAGGGCAGATTTTGGACCTTAGACAGTGAGGGACTATTCCAGAGCCCTGGGACCCATTAAACCTCCAGGCTTCCTGGGACCCATGGCTTGCTCCACCCCTAGAAGAGCTCCTGGCACATAATGGAGATGTGATGAGAGCCCCAGAACTGAGCCTCTATGTACTAGTGTTTTGAGTCCCTGCCTGGCTTCAGGCCAAACTCAGGACTCATGCCTGGAGAAGTCACCACATTCACACATGGAACACCTACTATGTAACATATACCTGTGTGTAACTTGCATGTAACATGTTCCTCTGTGAGCGAGACTCCGTTGGATGAATGAAAGTGACAAGACCTTAAACATGACCTTTCTGTCCCTCAGTTTCCCTCTCTAAAAAATGGAAGTGATAATGTCATCATAGCAGCCATTTGTGAGAATCACTTAGAACAAGACATAAAAATAGTCCCAGTGGGTGTTTAATAAGGGGTGGGTGGCATTACCAGGGCTGTAAACGTTGGGGTGTGGTGCCCAGCTAACAGGCTCGGGGTAGCAGGGCCGTACGACTTTTGGGATAGGCCACCCACTCTCCCGCCAAGGAGCCCAACTTTGCCAGAGCTGCCGGGGGTGGGGAGGGGGCAGGAGGAGCTTGCTGACTCTTCTAGCGAATTCCGTGCTTCCAGCAGACGGTTCCTGGGACTCCTCCCCGGCTCCCAGCTTTGCTCACGCCCGCCGCCTCCTCCTCACAGCTAACCTCAGGCTGAGCGAGACGCCGCGTCGCAGCGTCCCTCCCCCGGTCCTCGGGTCTCTGCTGCCCCCTAGAGCGGTCGCGGTCGCCAACCCTTGCTCCTTCCCCGACCTCCAAAGCCTGGGGACTCTGTGTCTAGTGGCTCAGTCGCGTCCGGACTCTTTGCGACCCCATGGAGTGCAGCCGACCAGGCTCCTCTGTCCATGGGGATTCTCCCGGCAAGAACACTGGAGTGGGTTGCCATGCCCTCCTCCAGGGGAATCTTCCCAACCCAAGGATCGAACCCAGGTCTCCCGCATTGCGGGCGGATTCTTTACCCTCTGAGCCACCAGGGAAGCATCCCTGAATGTTGCCGCCTTGCAAAATACCCTGCTTTTCCTTGGGGAGCCACCTCTGCGCCCTCGCGTGGCCCGGCAAGAGGGCAAGCTAAGGAGGGAGAGGGGACTTGCGCCTCCACGGCCTCCCCTCGCTCGCGTGGCCTCCCGCGCCTCAACCTCGCGTCAGATCGCCGCGGACTTCCCCCGCCGCTCGTCCCGAGGCGCCAGGTGGACATCCAGCTTAGCCCTCCGCCCGCGACCCCGCGGGCCCCGACCCGGGCCCTCTCCCCGCGGCGGCCCAACCTCGCCCCCGGGAACCCTGGGAGATGTAGTTTTCGGCAGCTCTCGGGGGGAGCGGGAGGTTGGGGTCCGCTGGCCCTGATGCGTGTCCGCGGCCGCCAGGTGCGCGACCTTGACCCTCGCTGTGGCCTGGCCCAGGAGGGCCGGAGAGGCAGAGCAGCGGGCTGGCTGCGGAGGCAGAGATTCCAGCGCGGTCTCGTTCGGCTAGGGGCCTTAGAAGAGCCCCGTAGCATCTCCAACAGTCATTCTTGCAGGATTTCCAGGGAGAGCGCGGGCTCAGCACCCGGTTCCCAGCGTGTCCTCAATGAGCCAGTGCCCATACCTGGTACCGTGACAGGCAGGGCAGAGTCCCCAAAGGCCTTCAGCCCTGAGAAGCGTGTGACCCAGGGCCAGAGCCCCCTCCACTGCCACCCCCCACCCCCCCAGCAGGTCCAGAGATGACTCCCACACGTGTCCAGGCTGAAGCCTCAGGCCACCCTCCCATATCCCACCCAGGTTCCCCTCCTTCACCCACAAACACACTCTACATCTACTCGGAAATATCTGATATTATTTCCCAACATTTTGATAATTCTTTTTACAAATTGAATAAAAGGAATGGAGGGGAGTGTATGTGGGACCCCCCGGCCAGGCCTCCAGGTCTCAATGAGAGGTGACAGTGTGACAACTTCTCCTCACCCACAACTCCTGGCCTGCTGCTCTAACCTCTCCCATCAACCTTACCTAAGAGTGAGGTGGGGGCTTTCTGAGGATGTGGGGTTCCCCCCTAGAGGGGACTCCGGGCATCCTGTTTCAGACCCTGAACTGGGTCAGGCTGGGGGCCCGTGTGGGCCCAGAGGTGGCGCCGGTGCCGCCTCTCCTGCCGGCGGGCCAGCTGCCGCAGCTGTTTCCGAATGGCCCAGAGCACCAGGTACACTTCCCGCAGCATCTCAGCCTCTCGCGACTCCAGGGGGGACCCGGTCTTCATTTGGGAGGCAACTGAGGTAGAACTCACAGATGACTGTGAAAGAGAGAAGATGAGCACAGGTGAACGGCGTGGCCTCCTGAGAAACTGCTGGTGAAAACACCTGCAGATAAACAGCAAGGCTTGGTCAATGCCTCCTCTTCTGTCAGGCCACAGCTTGGGTACCGCCTCCTCCAGGAAGCCTTCTGGGGCTGTCTCTGCTCTCGGGTTTGCCCTGTTATACCACGTTTTATACACGATTTGTTCTGTGGACTCATCTGTCTTCAATACCAGCTCGCAAATTCTTGGAAGCCAGGGACCATGTCTGACCTACGTTTGAGTCCCCACTAGAGTTCCATGGAGAAATGAAGGACAGTCTCCAACCCAAAGCTCTCTCCTGACCTCAGGCCTGTATTTCCCACTGCTTCCTAGACATCTCCCTAAAGATGTACTTTGACACCTCAACTTATCCTGTCCCAATGCCCTAAACTCGTCACTCTCTTCCCTAAGTCAGCTCTGCTCCCAGTGAATGGCTCCAGCCTGCTTTGACCTCTGTCTGTCTCTCTCCTTCACCACCACCCAATCAAGCACCTGGCACAACAATTCTACCTCTTAAATATCCCTCCAACCCATTAATTTGTTCTACCTGATGCCTCCCTCCCCATCCAGAACATTCTTCCCTGCTGACCTGAACTGCAGCACCTCCAGTGGGTCTTCCTGCCTCTCTGCTCCTGGCCCCTTCTGACCTCCCTCCACAGGACGCCAGGTGAACTTTTATTTTATTTTTTGACTGCGCTGAGCAGCTTGTGGGATCTTAGTTCCCCAACCAGGGACCAAACCTAGGTCTCAGCAGTGAGAGCCCCAAGTCCTAACCACTGGGCTGCCAGTGAATTCCCAAGGTGGACTTTTAAAAATTATTATTAATGTAGTAACACATTATTCAAAACCAAAATAAATTGACTTGATGGTGAGCTAGACATTTCCCTTTTTAAACTAAAATTTTGACTTTGAGATAATTGTAGACTCACATGCACTTGTGAGAAATAGATTCCTTATTCTGTTTACAATAGCAAAATCTTTTGTAAAGATTTTCCCTTTATTTTCCCTCAATAGTAAAATCTTTCAGATCTCTAGTTCATACGCTATTGACATCAATACAATCCACTGATCTGCATTTACTCATATTTCCCCAGTTCTACTTGCACTCATTTGTGTGTTTTTGTGTGTTGGAGTCTACCCAATTTTATATCCTATGTGCAGGTTCATGTATCCAACGACCATAGTGAAGATACAGGAGATTTCCATCCACACAAGGATTCCTCATGTTGCCCTTTTGTAACCAATCCACCTCCCCCAACTCTCCCTCTGTAGCACAGCCCCTGGAAACCACTAAACCACTAATCGGATCACCATTTGTCTAATTCTGTTATTTCTGGAATGGTATATAATGTAAGTGGAATCATATGATATATATATATATATATATATATAAGCTTTTGGATTTGTTGTTTTCACTCAGCATAATTCCCTTGAGAGCCATCCAAGTTGTTGTATGTATCAATATTGTTCCTTTTCATGGCTGAGCAGCATTCCAGGATATGGATATAGTGAAGTTTAACCATTCATTCCTTGAAGGACAGGTGGGTTGTTTTGGGCTATTATGAATCAAGCTTCTATGAACATCATGTACAGATTTTTGTGTGAACATAAATTTTCGTTTATCTGGGATAAATGCCCAAGAGTACAATCACCAGGCCATACGATAATTGCATGTTTAGTCTGATAAGAAGTGACCAAACGGTTTTTCCGGAGTGGCCACACCATTTTACATTCCCACCGGATGAATGAGCAAGGGGGGTCTGGGAGGGAAGGGAGGGGCTGTTGGGGACAAAGGGGACATAGTGCTGACCTTCCAGCTGCACATCTGCCAGCCAGACTGCAGGGCGGAGGCCATGAGCATGGAGACGGACTTGACGGCCGCCTGGGGCAGCTGGAACAGTGATCGCCGATGGCGACCCTCCTCCACCACAGCCCCATCCATGGTGGTCTTGGCTAACAGGCAGGGGTCAACCACCTTGTGGGACACATCCATCTTGGAGACCTTAGCCTCCTTGGGGGGCTCAGCCAACTTGAAAGTCTCAGACACCTTGAAAGCCTTCTCTGCCTTCAACTCATTTTTCTTGGAGTCAGTATGATCCTTGATGACTGACTTAGATTTGTGTTTCCAGAAGAAAACCTACGAACCGGACAGGGAGAGGAGGGATGGAAGAGAGGAGAGGAGCAAGAGAAAAGTGTCAGGAGAAGGGAAGGCCCAGAGGAGAAGGGGCAGCGAGTGTCCCGGCCTCCTCCCCAGCCACCCCATCCCTCACCTCCTCCCTCCCCAGCTTGTCTGGCCACCGGAGGCCAGGAAGGGCAGGACGCCAGGTGAGGAAGTGGGGGGCTTCTGTGACCTAGAGGTCACTGGCCAGCATGTCGGGAGAAAGGGGCTCTGAAACTTACCCAGCGGCTAATCTTTTGCCAAATCCATCGGAAGAACCTAATAACCACTGCCATTTCTCCCGATTACACGAGCCCCAAGAAAGGGGCAGAACCAGCATTTAGTTCAGTGGGGACGGGGAGGGGGAGAGGCTGCGGGCCAGTGGCCGCCACCCAAGGGGTCTCTGAGGAACTTCAGGCACAGCAGTGAAGAAAGAAATAGGGAATCCAGGAGGAAAGATCCTCCCAGTGACTCATCCTAGGCCCTTCCTCCCCTCCCTGAGACAGGGAGAGGAGTCAAAAGTGGATGAGAACCCAGAGGGAGAGAGAGTTCTAGACCATTGTGAGAGTCTGCCTGGCCCTGACCCCAACCCCCGAGGCCCTTCCAGGACCCCCCAGAGCCAATTCCAGTGCTCTCAACCCTCCTTCCCCCAAATCCAAGGAAGGGAAACTCACAGTGAACACCTGGTACTCCTTGGGCAATTCCCATGTATGATGTCATGTAACCCCTCCCAGCTGCCCTTCAGGTAGGTCTTCTTGTCAGGGCCATTTCACCCAGGAGGAAGCTGAGACTCCTGGAAAACCAGAAGAGCCTGCCGAAGTCGTAAATCTAGGGAGCCACAGGGTGGGGAGTCCAAACCCCAGGTCAGCCCCCAGGATCCCGCTCTCACTCTCGGTGACCGCTCTCTCAGTCCCGAGTGGCGGCTGCTGCTTCCCCGCTTCCCCACTAGATGGTCCTTCTCCCCTGCCTCTTCCGCCTGGGACGGGAGCTGAGGCTGTCAGGGAGGGGCCTGCTCACTCGAAGGGCCCCAGCGTCAGCCAGCTGGGGGTGGAGGCCACGGAGGCTGGCCAGGCCTGGCGAGGGCATAGTGTGCCCGGGGAGCCTGGCCCACACCCAGCATTGAGACAAGGGGCCCATTCAGGGCCCCCTGCCCCGCCCCCAAGCAGCCACCCGGATCCAGCCCGCAGAGGGGACATGCTGGGAAGCTGGGGGCGGGGTGGGGGGGAAAGGATCCTGCACAATCACCAAAGGCTCCATTGTTCCCGTCCCCCACCAGCACGTGGGCTGACGCCCCCCCTTCCCCACTCCCTCAGCCTCGCCTCGCCTGCCCCTTCCCAGGACCCAGGCCGTGGGCTCCCTTTTCCTCCCACATCTCCACGCTGAGCCACATTTCCCCTCCCCGGCCTGGGCAAGAGCTTCAGAGAAGCCCACAGCCCCGGTTTTTCCCCCACAAGTGGGAACTGGTGGTGCCGGTCCCCCATCTGGACGCAAGCAACAAGATGCCAACCTCCAGATTCAAGTTTCTTCGGATTCTTTAATTATAATTATTATTTCAATAACAACCTGAATCCCAGAACTTCCAGATACACTGTCTGTCCTCCCTCCCCTGGCAGAGAAGGCAGGGGGTGGGGGGGCACGCTCCAGGGAACAAGGTGGGGACGGCTGCCAGGGAGCCTCCAACTCCCCCAAACCATCTATTGCTGGGGGTCCCGGAACACTGATGGCTGGGAAAGGAGGAGGGGGGGCTCCATCCAACATCCCGTCCCAATGCATTCCCTCCTCCGTCAATGTGCAGGGATGCCCCAGCCTGGTCCCCGGGCATTGCAGGGATATCAAGGAAGGGTGGGGCCAGGCCCCTTCTCAGCCTTCCACGCCCGTCCCCAGGGATCAGGGGGCGTTAAAGCTGCATAGGAAGGGGGGCAGGCAGCTGGCACAGGGCCTGGCAGCTCTGGTGGCCCCCAAAGGCACATTGTGAGGGAAGGGAGGCTCAGACCGAGGGCCCATTGGGCGCTGGGGGTCCAAGCCGGGGGACCCCCGAGGAAGGCAGCTGGGCCAGCTGCTCTGGGCTGGCCAGGGCACGCAGCAGTCCATTCTCCTGCTCCAGCGCAGCGTTCCGCTCCGCCAGGTCCCGGATCTGCTCCTTCAGCACCTCCACCTCCTCCCGGACCGCAAACATGAGGTGGGACTTCACCAAGTCCTGGGGGGTCCAGGGACAGGCAAAGAAGCGTCAGGGGTCTCAGGCCACCACCCCACCCTCAGCCCCTGCCTGGTGCCTTGAGGAGGTGGGTGTTAAGAGATCCCCCTGCTCCCAGATGACGGGGGAGTGCTGGGGAAGAAGAAGTCAGCCAGGGAAGGGGCAGGGTGTGGGGGATGGGGGTGGGTAAGGACGCTGGACAGAGGCAAGGTCAGGGCTCAAAGACAAAGATGGTGGCCAGGAGTAGGCTAGGAACCAAGGTATGTCAAGGGTTCAGGTGGAGACAAGAGGGGGTAGAGGATCCAAGGGAACCCAGCTGGGAGCAGGTCGAGCAGCTGGGAGTCAGCATCCCTAATAACGGAGGGGATGGAGCTTCGGGGCTGGGGCCTGGGCATCAGCACGCGAACTGGGACCTGCTAGGATCAAGATGGCTTCTCTTACCATGGCTTGTTCGATCTTGTTGTCAATGCCAACCAGGCTTCCGGAGCCACTGGAGAGACACAGGGAGACGAGAGGTGAGGAGAAGGAAGAGGGGCCAGGCCGGGTGTCTGGACACCCCAGCCCACTGCCTTCCAGGTGCTTCCTCGGCGTGGGCTCTGGCCGCCTCCACGAGCCCCATTTGCCGCAGCCTCCCGCCCAGACCCCGGCCTGTACCTGTGGCAGTAGAGAATCAGGGACAGGAGGGTTTTGTCCATCCCCCGGCGGGGTGAGGGCCGCTGCCCGGGCCCCCCCAGGCCCCGGTGGGGTGGGGGTCCAGATGCCCCTCGGATGGGGGACGCTCCCCGGGGGGAGCAAGGAGAAGAGACACAGCCCCTTTTGCGGGGAGGTGCCGGAGCCATCCCCACAACTCGGGTCTCATAGGAGGACACCAGGGACTTGACAGACACCCCTGGCTGGGCCATGCCCGAGGGGAAACGGTCCTCAGGCCTCCCCAGAGGGAGCGGGCTACAGCAGAAGGACCGCCTGGGGGGCTCAAAGCCCCCCGGGCAGAGCAGAGTCTGGCTGGTGCCAGGCAGGCAGAAGGGAGACAGTGCCTAGGGGGTGCTGGCGTGAAAGATATACACCACCCCCAGGGCAAAGCCTGGCTGCTATTGGCTCCTCGGGGACACGGGGACCCCCTCCCGCCGGCTCCATGGTGGGCGGGAGTTCCCAGGCACGGTCAGTGCCAGTGTCCCCTTCTCACCCTGGCAACGATCCCAGCGCCGAGGGGAGGGGGCCGGCTGAGGACAGTCAGCTGGTGGGCCGAGTCGGGGGAGGGGCTGCGGGGCCAGAAGCCTGGGTCAGGGAAGGCTGTGAAGGGTGTGAAGGGGGAGCCTGGCCCTGGGAGGCCTCTTCCCACCTCTGACCCTATCCTACCCACTCCGGGTGAACACTGGCCTCCCTCAAGGCCTCAGCTGCTCTCGGCTGGGAGGTGAGAGAGGGAGTGGAGGTGATGGGGTGAGGGGGCGTCTCTGATGTGTGTGTGGTCTCCCTTGGACTAGAAGCACCTCCCTGAAGCACTAAGGCCACATCAGGGGTGGCCCCTGGGGCCCAGCCAGAGGGTGCCCCACACCTCCTACAGTGAGGGTGAGGAGGAATGGGAAAGATTACCATAGCAACAGAAAGAGCCTGAAAGACAAGTACCAGCCTATGGTCCCGGAACCCGGGTCTGCTATCTGGGATCTCGGAAAGAGCGAGAGTTTAAGAGGTGGGAAGAGGAGGATGGAGGTGGGATCCTGGGGAAGAGGCGCAGGTGCTTTGAAGATTCCTGGGAGCAGACGGCAGGGACGGGAGAGCAGGTCTGGCTGCAGTTTATTAAGTGGCCACCAGAGGTCGACTCAAGCCTGGCTCAATGGTCCCCAGGGCCAGGCTCTGGGTCCCAGAATCTGGCTCTCCCCCAAGCTGGTCTCTCCATGGCCCAGGGCCTGAGCTGTCCTTTGCGCCCTGTCCTCTCCTCGAAGGCTCCCTCTCCTCACCCCGTGGCTCACCACCCGCCCCGTCAGGCTTCTGCCTCAGCCGCCTCAGCCCTGAGACCAGCCCTCCACCCCAGGACCGCAGGAGCCCCGATCCTGCCCTCTGGCCCCCAGCTCCGCCCCTCTCAGGGCAAGGTGGCCCCAATACCCGCACGTGCTGACTGCCTCGCCCCTGTGTTCCCTCATCAAGCCCTCTCTCCTGGTTGTCAGTTCCACCTTGCTTCCCCGTGGGGGGAACTAGCACTCAGCCCAAGGTGACCCTTGCATGGGGCCCTGCAGCCAGGAAGAGGGCTCGAGGGCACTGGGGATTTTCCACTTCCCATCCAAGGTCTGGGTGCGGAAGCCGCTGACAGGTGGAGTAACCAACAGGGCGAACCAGGCCTGCAAGGGCAGGATAGGATGAGGGAGGGGAAGGACACCTAGGACACTCGGGGTTTGCGGGGAGAGGACAAGATTAAGAGCAGAGGAAGGGCCAGCCGGCTGGAGCATCTAAGCAGTTTTTAAGGTGTTTCAAACCAAGACACCTGGGTGGAGACAGGCCACCAGAGAACCCCCACCCCACCAGTACACACAGACACTCAGAGACCAAAGCGGCGCAGCTCCGCCGGAATAGGAACACTGGCCTTGCTTGGCGGACACTCGGTAAAGATGCCAAGTAAGTTGTTCCTTCTTGCCAGAAATAAAGGAAAAATACAACAATAAACATTTGTTGGCTGATAGATGATTATCTCCTGTTTGTCTACTGCTGGAGAGGTTTTGACAGCACTTTCCACTGGCACTTTCTAACATTAGCATTTCAAGGGACCAGGACTCTGGCAAACCAAGCCCTCCCTTTGAGAACCTCCGAGTGAGGGACCGCTGGCACTGTGCTGGAATTCCTGAACAGGGTCTGGAGTGGGAAGTTTGAAGTTGATTGGATGGGCTCAGGCTTCACCACAAGCCCCTAAAGCAACTTTGTGTGAGTCAGAATAAAATCTTTCAAGACGCTTATCGCCATCTTCTCGAAAACTGTTATGACTTCAAGCGTGAGTGGCGCCCCCTGGAGTTGTGCAGCACATAACAGGGGACTCTGGCCCTGCGGGACTCTCAGGTCCTGGGGCAAGGATAGCGGTAGAGGCTAGTCCTCCTTTTTGAAGGTCAAACAAAACAGCCTCAAAGTGAGGATCGGAGGAAGAAACTGGACATCTAGGAGAGTGGTGGTGGGGGGCGGTTTCCGATGCTGAGGACAAGGGCCAACCCTGCTTCCTCAACATGTTTTGAGGAGCCCCTAGGGGCTAGGCCAGAGGCCAATGAAGTGGCATCCGGCTGCCCTGGCTATACTCCCTCCCAGATCTGTGGTGCCTCTGGGGTGGGGCCAGGCCAGGGAGCGGAGGATGGCTCCTCGCCCGGATTGGGAGAGCCGTCTCTGCCTCTGTCCTGGAGAGAAAGTGCATCCCAGAGATGGCTGTCTCCGCCTCTCCTCTTGGGACACAGGCATTTCAGTAGGAGAATGGAGAGAAAAAGGCTTTGGGGGCCGACCCAGGCTCTGACAGCAGGCCTGCCACTTACTAGCGGGGTGACTTTGGACAAGTTTCTAAAACCTTCCTCCTCCAAGTCTCAGTTTTCTTCATCTAGTAAGAGGGACCATGGAGTTGCTCTTAGAATTATGTGAGATAAGAAGTAGCATCTGACCCCAAGGAAGCAGTAGATAAACAAATGCACCATTTCTTTCCTGAGTTCCTAGAATTTATTTCTTGTAATACTCAGATCCCCCATGCTGGCCATCTACCCAACCATCCACCTATCCCCTCATCCATTTATTCAAGTACTCTTCAACCTCCAGGCCCTGTTGGAGGCCGGAAGGTTCTTGCAACTCAGGAGCACGTGAACAGTTTGATTTCATCATGCACCCTCTGTTCTCCCATCCCCAGATTTCTAGAATGGTCAGGCACCCCCAACTCCCCACCTGGGATTCAGGCACTTAATATGCCAGCCCACTCTCCCTAATCAAAAGGGAGGTCCCATGCCACTCATATACCCTGTTCTGCCAGCTCCAGGCACACCAGAGAAATGAGGTGGGGGCTACACGCCCCATTCCAGGGGGCCAAGGAGGTAGCCCAACCCAAACCCGCTGGCCCAGCAGGGTGGAGCAGGAGGGGCTGGGCTGGGCCCGAGCCCCAGAGGCTTGGAGCTCAGCAGGGTAAAATGGAGGCTGGGAGGCAGACCGGTCAGACTCGGTCAGACTGGGGTGTCTGAGGGGGTGGGACAGTGGGAGGAAGGGAGGGAGGAAGCCCAAAAGAATAGAGCTCAGGAGGCTTCTGGAAGCAGAACTTGCTAAGAGAAAGTAGGAGGCTGGCCTCTGAAATCAACAGAGGTGGAGGAGGGGAGGGAGCCCTTCATGCCAGCAAACCTCCCAAGTGGGAGTGGGAGGGGGAGCGGGTAGGAAGCACAGAGAATAGCATCCATGGGGGCAGGTGACTCTCCTGCTGACCTCGAACCTCACTCATTCCCTAGAGCAGGGAACCCAGAGGCGGCCCGGCCCACCCCTGCTCTGTCCCTCATTCTCCAGGTGCCCCCAGCAGGCCCCTCACCCCTCCATCCCACTGGCTATCACCCCTTCTCTTTCCTCTCTGCCCCCACCTCAAACACTCAGTCCCTGATTCAAGGAGAAGGGGGCACCACTTGAGTGCAAGTCAGGAAGGAGAGACTCCCCTCTGGAACAAGTCCCCTGGCACCCACAATGCCCTGCCCCTTGGTGGCCTCCAAACAGGAAATCCCTCCCCCCAAGGGCTTCAAACAGGAAGTCCCACTCCTCCCTCCAAAATGAAAGTGGCGGCTCCCTGGCCCCTCTCCTGGGCTCCTGTCAGTCCACAGCCAGAAGGCAGCCGCTTGACCACCTGCCTCGCCACTCCGTCCCTCCCCTTTTGGTTTGCTGACATTCCTATGTTGAAACCTGGCCCTCAAAACAGGAAGTTCTGCCCACCGTGCCATGAACGGGACACTCTCTCCTGAAGGGCAAACCCCAGCAGATCCTGCTCTCCTGTGCCTTCCCTGTGACCGACAGCCAGCCTCTCCATGGCTCGGGCTTGGCCTTGGCCTCTGGGAAGGGTTCAGAGCCAAGGGTGATCCTAGTGCAGAGAAGAGGAACTTAGGGACCTGCTTTCTTGGTACCAGAGGTCCCGGGACCCTAAAGTAGTCTGCATGGAGTTTGAGGATGTCACCTCCACAGCCAGGAGTCCCACTGCCCTTGGGAGGGAGGGGGGGAAACGGGGAGGAGACCGACTCCCCATTCTGGTCTCCTGCACAGTTGCCAGTAAATTCTTAGGGTTGGCCAGATGATCGCTAAATCTGCAAGAGCTCTGGAATTTGACAACAATGACTCCCTTCAAACTCAAAAAAAAAGTCTACCATTTGACAGTCTTAAGCCAGGGAGTCCCACCCAGCTCTCTCCACAGAGAGGGGAGTAGGTCTCAAATCAGCTTTGCCCAGCTTCATGCCCAGGCCGGGCTTCTCTGTTTAAGAAGTCCTCTCCAAGTTCAAGCTGCGGGGCAGGACACCTATCAGGCAGTTTCCCCGCAGGTATCCCAGGTGCTGGGTGTGGGGGGAGTGGAGCCCACCTACCTATCATCATCGCTGTCCAGGTGGCCACTGATGGCCAGCATGGATCGGGCGAAGTTGAGGCTCTGGGCAGCCGCTGTTCCAAAGGGGTCTGGAGACTTGTGAACCAGACTGGCATCGGGGAAGAAGTAGAGGGCTGGGGAGCTGGGGCGAGAGTCGACCGGGGGCACCTGGAGACAGACAGGTAGGAACCGTCACATTGAGCAAGAGAAAGGATCCAGCCACCTTACAACTTGCCTAGCAGTCTTCCTCCCTCCCCAGCTCTCCCCACACATCCCCTCTGTCTTCTGAGGACACAGGCGTCCTTCCCCCACAGACCTCTTTTCCCCTGTCTCTGGGGATGGCACTGGGCAGGTACTAGAGGCAAGGGAAACAGGGACCATCCTGAGGGCTGGGTTGACTGGCTTCCAAAAAGTGGCTCATGGGGTATCACAGAGGGGCTCTGGTCTACCCTCCAGTATCTTTCCCCAACCTAAGCCAGGACCGCTAGTCAGAGGCTAGTCAGAGAGTATGCCTTCTGTCACCTGACTTCTTAAGGCGACTCAAACATCACTTCCTCAGAGGGGCATTTCTGCATCCTTTGACTCGTGAGTTCCACTAAACTGTTCTATCTTTTTTTTTTAGTAGTCCCTACTATTATCTGGAATAAAAGTATTTTTGCCTCTCTGCTGCTGGAAGGTTAGCTCCAGAGGGCAGAGCTTATGGTTTGTTCAATAGCTATTTGCAGAATGAATGAATCCTCAGAAACTGGTCCTCCGCCTCCTCCCCGCTCACCCCTCCTCTGCCCATTTTAGTCTCTCCTCTCAGACTTCTAGGGACTCAGGTGAAGTCCTGCTCCTGAGCTTGGCTCTCGGGGGCTGGCGGGGGGAGCAGTTGCAGAGACGGATGGAGGTGGAGCCCGGGCGTGGACCCACACAGCCCAACAGGCGCTAGAGGTGGCTGCAAAAGGGCGGGGGCCACAGGAACAAGACGCCTCTGTGAGGCCCCAGGAGGCCCCAGCTTCTCGGAAAAGTCAAGAACAGACAGTCCAAGGTGGTTGCCCGGGCTAAACAGAGGAAGGGGGCCCAGGTGGTGCCCCCGGCCCTCCTTCAGGACCCTGTTAGAAGCAACCCAGGGAGAAGAGGCATGGGGGGAGTGGAGATGGAGACAGACTTGGGGGCAGGGAAACAGCAGCACGGATCCCTGCACACAGGAAGAGATCGGGGTGTGGGGGAAGGAAAGGGGGCTGGGGGCACAGAGGGGAGAGGGGCAGGGTCTGCAGGCCCTGGGGACGCTCAGGCAGGGCTTAAGGACAGAGCGAGCCGAGGCTAGGGGCAAAGGGGGCTTGCTTTGGAAGCGTGTGGGGAGAGGGACCAGTAAAGGACACACATTCTCCCCTGGGGTAGGAACTAAATGAAAGAACTCAAGAAAAATGGGGGGGTAGCATGAGAGATGTGAGTTTGAGGCCAGGAGGGGGTGGGGGGAGCCAGTCCTGACCGGTCCTGACAAGGCCCAGACACACAGTCTCAGGTTATTTTTATACTGTGGTTTGTGCCCAAGGCCAGGAAGGGGAAAAGTTCTCATCCTCACACTCCCTGCCTTTCGTCCTGCGTCCAAGGTGTTATTTTCTCCTTCAAGACAGATGCATCCAACACCCCCTGGCTGCCCACCCCCTCTCACCCCCAAGGACCCAGGCATCCTGCCTCCCAGCCCAGACTTGTTCCTCTTTGGGAGGCAGCAAGCAGAATGAGCAAAGGATTGAGCCCTTTCTCGGCCGCCTCCCACCTCTCTCCTGCTCCACAGTGGCCACCCCCAGTGATTGATCCTGGAGAGGCTCAGACACGGGAAATGGAGAAAGACAACTGGGGGTAGAAAAGACAAACCAGCCCAAGTCCCATCCTTGTAACAGGTTCCCTCACCCCCACCCAATTCTTCAATGTCTTGGGATGAAGCTAGAGATGGGGCTGGGAGGGTGGCTCATGAAAAGAAAGAAGATCCCCTTCCCCAACTAGAGAGGGGACTGCAGAGGAGAGATTTACAGTGGAGTGCCTACTTTTTCTCTTCTCCCCCAAACTCAGCGGCTCCCAGAGGCCCAACTACCCCAGCCCTGCCTGGGGCCTCCACCCTCAAAGCCTGAAGAAGTGAGATCAAGACAGAAAGTGAAGGCCGAAGTGAGGAGGCCACATCTCCAGGACAGACAGAACTGGGCTACGTGGAGATGGACGCTCAGGTCAAAGGCAACACATGGAAGGCCAAAGAGAAAGAAAGGACAGAACGTGGGGAAGAGGGAGCCTAAGAGAGAAAACAAGGGCCACGTAAGGAGCAGGAATGGGCTTCCAAGAGAGATGGCAGGAAGAAAAAAGACGGGCAGGCTGATCTGACAGACAGGTGACCGGGGAGCAGGCAGAGGTCAGTGTGGAATTGGGGGCCAAGCACTGCCCCTCAGGTTTCTGCCCAAACCCTGGAACCCAGCTCTTACCTGTCCCATCTCCTCTGGAGCAACCAACTCCATCCTCAGCCGCAGGGCTCCATCCTTCACACGGGACAGTGGAGGGGTCCCCGCTCCTGCTGCCGCTGTGGAGCCTCCTGCCTCTGCTTCTACTCTCAAGGTGGGCAGGGGTGTGGCAGCCCCAGAAGGGCCCGCGCTATCCCCGGTCCCAGGCTCTGGGGGGCGCTGCTGGGGTGGGGAGGCGGACAGCGGAGGTGTTTCCACCTTGGCTTTGCCGGGCACTGCCAGCTGGCCCAGTCCCCCTGTGAAGGAGCGGGCCTGAGGTCCAGGGGAGGTGGGGGGCGGGCGGAGCCAGGAGGTGGGGACCTGAGACAGGCCTGGCTGTGGGATAGGGGTGCCCAGGCCCAAGCTGGCCAGCTCCAACCTGGAATCCAAAGATCTGCCCCCATTGCCTCCTGAGGCCCCTCGAATACCCTCCAGGAGCCGGCTAAAGCTAGGGGGCTCCAGGTCTCTCTCGTAAACATCCACACACGTCCAACGGCCTCGGCGATAAGGCTCTCCCAGGCCTTGGGGCAGCTTCACCACCCGGAAACGGGAGGCGGGGGCCCCAGGCGGTGGGGAGCCATTCCGGGGGGTGCTCTTGCCCCCTGGCTCGGGGTTAGGCTCCCCATTGGGCAGGCGGGGTGGGGGCCCGGTGGGGGCCGGGGCTGGTAGCCCAGCGGGGGCGGGGGCTGATGGCCCGGTAGGGGCCAGTGGCCCAGCAGGGGCCGGCAGGGCAGGGGCATCTGAACCCCCGGGGCTCCCTGGGCCCTCGTAGTCCAAGGTGACGCTGGTGATTTGGAAACTACTCTTCTTCTTGCCCCCACTCATGGTCCCTGGGGCTCAGGACTGGGCCAAGGTGGGCAGGGAGCTGGTGGTGGCTCTTCAAGGGGCTCAGGCACCCCTGGAGCAGGGGGGCCACATGGCGGGGACATCAGGGCCCCTGCGGATGTCTGAGTCCGACATGGCAGGAGGGCCTTGCGGGAACTGGGGGGTGCCTGGTTGGTGAAGGGAGAACAGGGTAGGGGAGGTGGCAGGAGTGGGGGGGCAGGGGCAGGTTTTTCCTGCTGCTGTCGTTGCTGAACTCCAGAGCTGAGTTTGCAAACTAGAAAGAGAAGGAGAGAGAGAGAGAGAGAGAGAGTGTGTGTGTGTGTGTGTGTGTGTGTGTGTGTGTGTGTGTGAGAAAGCAGTGGGCAGGCCACCTCTGGGGCTTCCTCTCTGGGGAGCAGAATGGGGGAGGAAGGGGAAACCGCCAGACACCCAAAGACAAAGACAGAAATGACAGAGACCCGAGCAGAGGGAACGGAAAAGACAGAGAACCCGAGCAGATCCGGGCGGGAGCAGAGAGCAGGAAGAGGCAGCCCAGACCCAAAGTTGGGCATTCTCCCTGGGATTCAAACTCGTGCGAACCCAAGTCGTTGCAAGAGCAAGAGCTCCAAGGTCTGGGTGAATAGGGGTGAAGCTGCTCCTCAGCCCGGCCAGGCCGCGGGGAGGCCTGTGCTGGGCATCCACGGCCACCGAGCTGGGCCGGGGGTCCCGGCCGCCTAAGGTGTGGGGCTGTCCCTTCCCTGGAGCCTCCTTGGCCCCAGCAGCTCGGGGTAGGGGTAGGGGTGGGCGCGCAGGCGGCGATCAGAGGCTGTCAGGTTCTCTTCGGGGGCCGCACCTCGCCCCCCACGGCATCTCCACGGAAAGTTTGCTATCCAGAAAAGAAGGAACTCCCGCCTCCTTGGCGGAGCTCAGGCGCGGCCTCTGAGGTCCCCAGGCTCGGCCGACTGAAGCAGAGGGGGGCGGCTCAGCCCCCTCCCCCCGATCCCGCAGGTGCTGCCGCCTCGGTGGTCGTCGCGGCGACGGGCCCTCCCAAGTCTGCTCCCGCGTGGCACCGATGGGTCTCTCTCCGTTCCTCTCGGTCTTTCTCTTTCTGGGCTGTTGACAACCCCCACACCAGGAAGTCCTGCCTCCTCGGGCCTGCTGACTGCTCCTCTCCTCCTCCTTCCCCTCTTCCTCCGCCCTCTCTCGCTCCTGGGGCTCCCGGCCAGCTGGCCCGGGGCCAGGTCTGCCACCGCCACTGCTGGTGCAGTTGCCGCTGCCGCTGCTGCTCTTACGGGGGCCCCGGGACAGGCTGCCTTAACCCCACACCTGCTGGGCCCCAGCCCAGCACTTCCTCGGAGGGAGGGGCCGCGGAGGGCGGAGAGAAAGGGGGAGGAGTTTGCGGGGAAGCCAGGGATTCCCTTACTTGTAGGCACTTGCTGCCATTGGCCTACGAAGGCGCGGAGGAGGGGGGAGGAGCTTAATCAGGGTTCCGCCGGGTGCCTGCCACCCCATCAGCGCCCAGTAAATGGTTATGGTGCTGCTGCATCTGCTGTTGTCGTATCTTCGCTGGCTTTCACAGTAACCGAACGAGGTGGATACCGTTTTTCTCCCGTTCTTGTTTTTTCAAGTGGATCTTTGTGGCAATTTTCAAACATGCCTCTACGTAGAGAGAACGATAAAAGAACTCCTAAAGGACCCGAGATGCAGTTTCAACAACTGTCAGCTCACAGCCGACCTTGTTTCCTCTATATTCTCAAAATCTTTCGTGGTATTGTGCTGGAGGATTTGAATCAAACCCCAAACATTGCCCAAGTTCCTCTTGTTAAATGTCTATATGGAGACCCAAGAGGTTCAGAAAGGCTGTCAGTGGTAGCGCAGGGACAGTTCTCACTCAGGTGTGTCCTTGTCTGGCTCCCTAGATAGGAAGACACCACGAAGACGCGCTAAGGAAGGTGCTGACTTGCATTTTCTCTACCAACCGCTGTTAGCACAGCAGCACCCATACAGATGTGCCCGCTTGGAGGAGGAACCTGGCTGGCCACAAACCCGGACCCTTTCCCTCACCCCCACCTCTCACCCTTCCCAACCCCTGCTCACTATGCAGAATCCACACACACTCATTAAGCGCCTACTGTGTGCTTAACAGGACTGAGCCACTACCACTTTCACTTTCATATGCTTGGCAGCATTCTGAGGGGAACTGTTTTAGCAAAAGCAGGCTTTAATGACCACATCTGCTGTCACTCCCAGGTTCGTCACATGGAACTCTTTCCAAGCATATGAAAATTCTCCATATTTGTCCATTTCACATAATTAGCTCATGGATTCTCAAAACAGCCCAGGGCAGACATGGGTGGGTTTTGAGCTCCACTGTCTAAGCTGAGGAAACTGAGGCTTGGGTTACTTGCCCAAGGCGTCAGAGCTAGCATTTGATGCCATTGAGACTAGTTGACCCGTCCTTCCTTCCTCAGGTTAGCTCATGGAAATTTTTAATCACCTTTAAGCAAAAACAAAACAAACCCCCTTCCCTCCGGTTTATATATTTCTTCTTTATCTCTTTGTTAACATGCATCTGCACTCCTCTCTCTCTCTCTCTTTATGGCAACAACGGCTACCACAGCCAGATCCCGAGGCCTCCCAAGTGATGAGGTCCAGGAAGCAGCCTCCCACACAACCCCTCACCCCACTCTCTCCCCTCTGGCAAAATTCACAACACAGCCCCGCGGCTCCACCCCCAGAGCCTCCTTCCTTCGGTGATGACTGGCTACAAACTATTCAAACTTATCTTTGAATCCTCCCCTTCCCACCAACTCAGACACTCGGCATCAACTTGGGCTCCTCCGTGTCTGCAGTCCCAGGGACATTGATGGTCTTTGTGGAAATGTTTGTTGAGTGAATAGATAAAAGTTTATTCACACCAAGGTGTGTAAATGTGAAACCATAGTTATGTATTTTTAATGTGTTAACTCTCCCGGGGCATTTATAATGCCTTCTATTAAATGTGGGGCAATTTACGACTTACAAAGCTGTATTTATGATTTGGTTTTGGAGTCAAAGGTCACTGGGAGGACGACTTGGGCCATGGGGGCGGATGGGCAGAAGACGTTAGTCCAGGTGGTGAAATAAGGTCTGGACTCCTGGGAAGCTGCAGGGATAAGGCGATGAGCACCCAGCGAAACAGCCTCGCAGCCCTCCCTGTACCTGGGGGGCGGCTGGAAGACGCCGCGCGGACAAGGGAGCACGCCCCCTGCTGGACAAAGACGCGGATGGTCCGGCTGCCGACTCTCAGAGCCCCTCCGCCCGGAAACCGGCCCCCCCTGCCGGCCTCGCCGCCTCACTGCACTCCGGGCCCCGCAGCCGCAGCCTCGCCCCGGCCGGACGCGGGGTGCGCACCCGGGGAGCGCCGGGCACACTGGGTACGCGCGTGTGTGCCGGCCCCTGGCCGCCGCTGGGGGGCGCCGCTGCGCTCGGCACCCCGCACCCCCGATTGCTCCGCCGGGGCCTTGGACATCGAACCCAGCGCGGCCCGGCGGGGCAGGGGCGAGGGGCGGCGAGGAGCGGACGCCCCAAAGCAGGGGCGGGCTGGCTCCGGGTCCCCCAAATCCCACGACCTTTCTCCAAGTGCCCCCCGCGGGCTCCGCTGGCCCCATGCCCCCCACCCCAGCCTAGCGGCAGAGCCCGGCCCCGCCGCTCCCACTCCGTCCTTGGAGGGTGTGGAAGGGTGGGTTTGGGGCCGGGGGCGGGTCTGGGGGCGGACCCGGAGGCGGGGCTGTCTCTGCGGCAGGGCCCTGTTCGGCTCCCCCCGGTCTCTGTCTCTCCTCCTCCCTCCTCCTGCTCCGGGCGGAGCCCGGCATGGGGGGGCCGGCGCCCGGCAGGCCAGGTACGGTGATGTAGAAATTGGGGAGGCTTGGTGCGGGGAGGTGGGATGGGGGGACAAGGGGTAGGGAGGAGTGGCGGGGCGAGAGACGGAGAAACCCAGGGTAGCAGGACAAGGAGAAGGGGAGGGGTGCCCGGGAACCTGGGGCCTTCGGATGGAGAGGGGGATGAAGCCGACCAGGTTTGGAACAAACCGGGAAGGGAGAGGACGGCAGTGAGGAGGGGCGCCTAGGCGGAGAGGTGAGGCTGAAGGCGCAAAGGAGAGTGTGTTTGGGGGAAGGGAAACCAGAGCAGGTATGGAGGCCGCAGCTCAGAAGGTAGCTATGGGGCCAGACTGGAGACCCCCGGGTGAGAGGGAGGGGCGGAGACTGGGAGAAGGAAGCCAGGAGCCTCCCAGATCCTGGAGGAGGAAGGTGATTTGGGCCATCAGCGAGGGAGGCGGGGACGGTCGCTGAGGGCCCAGGCGAAGGTCTGGCGAGGGGGTCGTTAGGAAATGGAGAGACATGGATGGGTGGTCTTGTAGGTGCCCAACTCAGAGTGCCCCCACCCTTTCTCCCGAGTCCCCGCCCTGCCCCCATGACACCCCCCACCAGCCTCAGGTCCCAAGAGGAGGTAGGGAGTCACTGTCTCCCCCTTCCCCAGCCGGGTGCAGTGTAGCCAAGTAGGCCCCAGCATAACTCCTTGTCTATATAGGTAGGTCCACTCCGGTGCAGCCGATTTGTGTGTATCTGGAGGTCTGTGTGTGCTGTGGGTGTGTCGGGATGTTTATGTCTATGTGTCTGGCTGTTCTAGGTTGTGTTTACCTATGTCAGTTTGTGTGTCTGGCCCTCTGTTTGTAGAGGTGGGTCCGTGACCTGGTGGTTGGTGTGTCTGAATGTGTGTTTGTGTGCCTGCAGGGCTGCTGTAGGTCTGTGGGGCCTGTCCGTGTGCTGGATCAGGCTGGATTTACAGGATGGGGTTCTGTNCGCCACTGCTCGCCCCCTCCCCTCGTTCCCCCGGGGACCTGGCGCCTGGCCTCTCCTGTGTTGTCACTTCTCTTTTTCACTCCCATTGACGGCACAGCCTCTTGGAGCCTGAGTCAGAGCCACCTCCCTGCTCCCTTCTCCCCCCTCGAAACTGTGGAGTTTAATTCTTGTTGTTAATTAGATTAATCAGAGCTATCGCTGCAGTGATCTCTCCCTAATGAAGGGTTAGTAGACAGGGCCCTAATGAGAGCCCACCCCACAGCGACTCCCCCTCTTCCCCGCCAGCCGCCCCCCACCCCCTTCACTCACACAGAAGCTCAGGGACAGTGACCGGGAACTGGGGTGAGCCTGGGAGGGTAACAGAGAGAGGAAGGCAACGGAGGGAGAGGGAGAGAAAGAGAGAAAGAGGCAGGGAGGAAAGAGAGATCAGCCGGGGGAGGCTCTCTGATGATGCGGCAGGCAGTACAGCCGGGGTCTGGGAAAGGAGGCGCCCGCGCGGTGTGGGAGCGGAGGCCGCAGCAGCAGCCGGACACGCGGGGAGGCCAGAGGCCGCGCGTGGGCCCGCGTCAGGGGGAGAAGGAGCAGAGCTCGGGCGGCAGGTGCATGTGCCACGCAGGGCTGGGCTGCCCGGGCCGGCCTGCCTCTCCGTGTGCCGAGCTGTCCACATGAGCGGTGCCCACGCTGGGGCCCGCCAGCTCCAGGGACGCTCCCCTGCACACGGGCTCAACCTTCTCTCATCCCTGTCCCCGGCCTCCTTCCCTTTCTCAAGGCCTCGGGGGTTCGGCCTCTCCCCATCCCCACCCTGGCCCCCGCCCTCCTTCCTGGGAGGCCCCAGGGTTGCCCACCGCTCCTC